AAATTCCTTTTAGCTCATGACCTTTAAGTTAATTCAGGGGTGATACTGTAAGGGGAAATTCAACACCAGACACTTATGAAAGCTGGGACAAGCTAAACCTGAATGAGCCACCTAGCTAGTGAGTAAGACTTAACCAAAATGACAGAGAGGAATAAAAAAATGGTCAACAATAATTAACTGTCAAACCCTTTAACCGCTAAGAGTGACTGGCATCTAATCTCTCCTTACCATATCTCCCCTGAATCAAACATTGAGGTCAGGAGAATAAAAGAGCTTATCACCCACTAAAGACAATCTTGATTGTTAGACAAATTCTCCCTGTCAGCATCTTAGGAAATGTTTATAGAACAGTATGGAGAATATGCATACTGATTTTAGGGTGAAGAGGGTTAAGAGACCACGGCCCTATTGTTCAAGGGGTGGATAATACCATCCAACAGATAAATTGCAAAAGTGGATAAGAGTTAACAAACCATAATGCACTATTCACTGCAAAGAGATTTATCCAGTGGATAGTGCTATCAACTATCAACCCTTCAAGCAACAGAGACCAAGAGATGTGAGCAAATCACAAAACCACAAATTATTGACATCACTGATGAGCAAGTTTAGACCTCTCATGCCTAAAGAGTTTGTTTTTCTTGACAAATTCATATTCCAGGATCCTTTTTGGTAACATGGCTATCTAGGTTCCACAATCACATGGATGCGAAACAACAACAACAAAAACAAAAACAGAGTAAGGCTGGCATATCTACCTTTCTTCTAATTTCACTTTGGCTTCCCTTTTGGCTTTGCGTTTCAGTGCTGGATCTCTGAACACATCTTTATTAATCACCTGCTTGTCCAGGTTTACATCGACTGAGTACCTGCAGACAAAAGAAAGGATTTCTCTATAATTATGAAATACACAGTTTTGAAATTGTTGGATAAAATTATTACCCTGGTAATTACAAAGCAGGCAATAAATTACAAGTTCACAAGAATCTCTGGACCAGTTATTAAAAAAATTTTTAACCCTAATTCATCTAAACTATGCTCTAAACAATCTTGAGTCAAACAGAAAATACCACCTAAATAGTATGTTTTTGCAAAACTGACAAAAGGGTTAAAATTGGGCACTAAAAAATCTATTCCCTTTAAAATCCCACATATCAAGGATCTTATAAAACCCATTGATCCCAATAAACCTCAGACCAATTTAGTCCTTGTTTCAATGGCCAATCCTCTAGCTTTATCTCACCTGAAATTTTGCCATTTACCTACTCTGAAAAAGGTTATCACAAGCTGTTTGGAGTTGCAGATATGTTAAAAAAAATTGATCAAATGAGGGGCATATCACTTTGTCTTGCTCAACCCTGAGCCTGCAATTCCTTGAAGTGATTAATTTGTTACATCCTCCTAAAATATCCACACAATATCCAGCAAACAGGTTATGAAAGTATTTGAACTTATCTGGTAGAAGTTAGCCAAATCTAACACCAAATACCTGTAGCTAATTTGCAAAGAAATGTGAAGCAGCTAAAGGGGAGAATTAACAGTCAGATCTTGGGAGTTAACCCTTTAACTCCCAGAAGTGATTAACATAAAACTTCTCCCTACAATATCGATACATTCTCCAGCAAACAGGTAAAGAGAATATTCAAACTTATCAGGTAGAAGCTGTTATCTTGATTTAGCACCTAGTTCTCATAACTAATTCACAAGGAAATGTGTAGCAGCTACAGGGGAGAATTAACAATCAGATCTTGGGAGTTAAGGGTTAAAGGATTAACTGACAAAGATTGAAGCAGATTAAGGTCGATTATTGCTTCTTAAAACTATCTCAGGAAAAATAAAATTGACAATACAATGACAAAGATGGTTCAACATTAATTCTGGGAACTTTGCGTAACAGGCAAATTACAGTGTTGTATCAGCTGAGCAAATTTTCAATTAACCCTTTAGGCAGCTAATTTCTCACAGCAATATCACCCCTGAATCAAACATAAGGTTATCTGAATAGTGGAAATGATCGCAAACTCAAGGAGCTCTTGTTTGTTAGACAAATTCTCCTTGTGCGTACCGCAGGAAATGTATAGAGAACAGGATGTAGAACTTGCATTCTGACGCTGGAATGCAGAGGGTTAGTACTCACCTTGTGGGCATAAGATGGTTGTAGTTGTAAACTTTTACAAAAGGCTTTATTCTGGACCTCTTTGCCGTCTTCTTCTTTCCCATTTTCTTTGTAACTTTCAGTGGGTAGCGAGCAATTCCAGCCACGAGTGCATGACCGTAAGGTTTATCGCTGGTTCCATCGTCGTAATTTTTTACAATGACAGCCTTTTTGCCTGCATAACGTCCGTTTAAAACCAACACAACTTTGCCAGACTTGATGAATTTCCCCATGACTATGGAGGAATCTGTAAAAGATGCAATCGGCAGACTTTCAACGCAAAAACAACACAAAAAATAAAGAAAGGAGGAAATAAAGAAATAAAGAAAGAAAGAAGGTTTGGAAGGGCACGTTCAAATTGAATGTAAGTGATGGCTGAAATCATAACAGTTTCTCGCTCTATTACTGTGTGATATTCTTGTAAGTTTAGAAGTCACGAACTGTTTGAGATTTCAAAAGAAAGTAAGTACTAAAAAACTTAAAACGATTTATTTTCGATCCCGATGGAAGCGGATTGTTGTGGAATATTCTTCACACTCACCAGCAAAGATGGCGACGAAATAAGAGAGATCGAATGGGTGAAATCCGCTGACTAACAACATCGCGCATGACACGACACGGAACTTGCACAGTATAATAAGAATAATGACAATAATCACTTTGATGATAATAATAATAATAATAATAATAACAATGATGATGATAATTAATTGATGAATAGAACAGTGGACAATTTAAAAGAGAAACGAAATCAAAAGGAACTAGAATTTAACGCGCTTTCACTTAAGCCAACATTTGATAAAATTAGTGAGAACATTGCAGGGGTAGTTTAATCAATCACCAAATGATTAACGGAAAAACACATGTGAGTCGTGTGCCACTATGATAGCAAGGATTTGAAGTAGACATCAACAAAAGATGCCCCATAAAAAGTTGTTTTTCGTCCCGTCACTGGCGTGGGACAAAGAAAAAATTCTGAGTCCCTATGAGAAATCGAACCTCATTCATTCGTTTTGTGCTCTGAGTTTCTGAAAAATGCCTTGTTATGGACGTGATTTCCATTCATTTCGGGCCTAACATTCCATCAGAGGAAATACAAGGACTTTAAATCAGGAGCAATGTTTGTTAATGCCATGGTATAAAAATTAAAAGTTCATATAGCAGTCAGTAGTTCAATAATTTTAATTCAAATTATTAAGACTTATACGATGTACATATTGAAAACTGGCGCGAACGGTGTCCATATCATTTATTTTTGCACACTTGATAGAATATTAGGATCAATATCTGTATCTGGGCAACTGCCCACCTACCCCTCCCCTAACCCAACATTAACCTTAACTTGTTGTCAATTGGCTGTTGTTGAGTTAGGGGAGGGGTAGGTGGGCAGTTGCTTAGATACTGATATTGATCCGAATATTATATACCTTTACAGAAGATATCAAATAAATATTTATATTTTTACCATTTCTTTTTGTTATCGAGGGTAGTCTGGTACCAGGCCCTCATTATTGGCGCTGCAGAATACGCGTTTCTCCGCGCGCAGGAAGATTTGAGACAAGTCGGGAAGAGGTTTGCCGGGGAACTGGCACTAATAGTAATTAGCCAGACCCCTAGGGCTAAGAAACCCTGGTGTCATATACCATAACGCTAATAATGAGAGCCTTCTCTCATTCTATGTCAAAGGGTCTATCATGGGAGGAAAGAGTTAATGGTTTCCAGCTCCTTACACCTCCCTCTCACGATGGTAAGATCAAGGGCCTTAGGTAACATTTACCTCATGTCAAAAAAATTGATGGTCGAATGTAGTCTTGTACCAAGACCTTCCGCGGCTAAGTAAACATTTCATTTACAATTGCACGGTAGGATCTGGGTAAGAGATTAGGTCGAAAATTATCCGGGATGGCTTTGGTTTTGCTTTACTTCGATCTGTGATTGGCATAGAAAGTTTGCGCCATCCTCACAGCCAATCGCATGAAAAACTTAAACCCACTATGACTTTTTCAGTCGTGTTTTCCCGCGCTTCAAACAGTTTTCTTGCACATTGAGCTCTCATTGGCTAATGATGGTATGAACCTCTTCTCTGATTGGCTGATGTGATTCTGACTTGGCTTTTGGTTTTTTCCGACCATCAATTGGAAACTGATCTAAAACAACTTAGCTCGCTCCAAATGCATCAGACGCAATACAATCTTGCAAAATGAAATCAATATACATAATGTAAAGAGTTAAACGTCTTAAAAACGTTTTCTTAAAACGCGGTTAAAAGTGCGATGCTTTCGAGTTTCATCAGTTTCTAGGCACACTCCAGTTCGTCTCCCTCGACGCAGATTTGGTTCTTCACAAACCTCTATGCGACTTAACCCTTTAACTTCCATGAGTGACCAAGAAAAACAAGGTAGGGGAGTCGAGATGATTTCTCCCTGTTGCTTCAAGATTAGTGCTGTTTCTCCTCCACAAAATCCCATTCTTCTTTGCCGTGTTTGGCCCAAGAACGCCTCAACGGTTCTGCTGCTGGTGCTCATTTTTTTTCTGTCTTGAATTTGGTTGTAGGAATATCCTTTAGTGCTGGCTTGGTAAAGCGAACTACAGCATTCTTGGTTGTTGCCCAGGTTTCGTAAGTTACTTGACTGGTAATGCCAAATTCCATTTGGATTACCCCTTTCCTTGTTATGTGGCATCCTCTCAATCATGTTTTGCCCTTCAACTTCTTGTAGACCATATTTACACTTGGCTGGGCTCATTTCGTCATGTCTGCAGGTCCTACCAACTTGGATATCATCGTCTCTCAAACAGCCCACAGGGCTGTGAAGCTGGCCTATTTGAGAGTCACTGGGATTTTCATGGTCATCTTCTTCCAGACCACTGAATCTGTATTTCTCCTCTATCGAGCTTTTATCGTATCCCACTGATTCTCTATCAGTGACATAGCGAGAGGTCGCTTCTTCCTCACAGCACGACGAAAAAATCTGAACTTTATCGGAAGGCTGAATTGCCTGAATTTCAAACATGAAGACGGGTTTCTGATGGATTTCCTCTCTTTAAAAGCGACTCCTGAATTTGCAAGACTCGTTTTCCTATTAAGTCTGAAAATGTAAATGTTCGTTCTGAACCCTCACTAGCCTCGTTCCATACTCTCCTATGTTTTCACCGAAAAATGTGTTTTTAGATATCAGAGTAGTTTTTAACTGTGTGCTGAAAGTAATCTGGAATTCCACTGGTTTTGCTTTACTTCGCTCTGAGATTGGCCCAGAGAACCCGCTCTAATCTCTTAACCAATCATATGTAAAAGTAAGACCAATCACGATGGGGTCACCCAGGTTTTCCCACGATTTAGGCAAATTTTTTGTTATTTATTGTAAAGCGCTCTACTTTTTAATTAGTAAAATTTGGGGTACGCTAATTAAGAGCGTATTGCCCTGATTAAGGAAACCATCACCGATGTCCGACGAGGAAAGATGCCGGTATTCGTCAGGCTTAACTTTGATAAGAGTCTGATAATAGGAAACCAATAAACAATGTAGACATGAAGGACACAAACACACACACACACATAAACTTTTCGTTTCAGAATCAAAATGATTTTAAACTTTTGAATTGAAACAGGAATTGATTCAATGTTTACTGAACATTTTCGCAATCTGGCTATTAAATTGTTGTCATTTTGAGCAATAGACCCCACTTGCTATCGTTTATGGGCATTATAACCCAACTGTATATAAAACCCACTCGTATATCACTCGCCTCTGGTGTCTGGCAGGTGCAAAAATTCACAGACATTTGCACCTGTCTAATTTTTCGGCCACAACACAGAAATCTAAAAAACAAAAACAAAGTGAAAAATTTGCATTGAAAGATGACTCCATATCTTGACCTACACATGGAAGCCAGCAAAGTGCGTTCCTAAGCCAATCAAAGGGCGCGTTTGTTGTTCTTTCCGAAATTTTACCGCGAAAACACGTGGTGGTGTTAGAAGATGTGGGTTAATTCGATTAAGCAAATATAGGAAAAGTTCTTGGATGTAATTAAAAACACAAGACAGTAATAAATGATGGAGGAGATTGAAGAGGATCACATTCAAATGTGCTTTTAATGTAAATGTGTTTTAGAACAATAGAAATTCACCTATTGCCATAGAATGGCCAAAATTTCAACCGTTGGCCGTAAAATGGTCAAAATATTTACTCTTGCCGGTTCCGAATGATGTGAAATACGACCGGTCCATCGATATGCAAGGTGAAGGTAAAAACGATCGAGGACAAGTACATGTTAACACGATTTCTTGTATCTTCGTTCAGCTAAACTCAGAAATGGTATTTTTTCATTCATGCACGTCTATGAAATTTCCAACAATAGAAATACAATACGTAACGAACTAGAAACTAATTACACCACAAAAGTGGAAATAATTATCAATTTGTAGTTTCACACATATATTACACAAATATGCCATGTACCCAAATGTCCCAAATCCCGATAGCCCGCAGTAAGGCTTCGTAATAGGTTTGTATAAATACTGGGCAACTTAATATTGGCCAAATTTTTCTTAGCGTTTTTAGGGACTGAGACCAAGTCGAGGTCTATAAGAACGCAAAAAAGGACAAGGCTAATATCCAGCCATCTTGGTCAATAAAGGATTTATTACATAGCTAAAAAGACTTAGCTTAAAAATAATCAAGAATGACTTGAAAGACTGTAATGTCTATGGGGGGCATTAAAATGTCTTCAGATTACTCAGGGCATGGAAATGAAGCTCTGTAATTTATTCGCGTCAAGATAAGGGACAGGGGATGGAAGTCAATGGTCCATTTTACAGTTGTGTGCTTGGTTGCCAAGCCTTTGAACAGGAATGAGGCT